TTTCAGAGATGTGAAAATGTGAGGGGGAAAGTTCATCTTAAAATCAAGTGTCATTTGAAAAGTAAATATTTTAAAATATGTCGAGTCATTGCTATTGAAAAGGCTAAGAACCACTTTTTCTGTGCTATGTTAAAGGGAAGAAAGAAATCTGGTAATAAAGCAAAATGTGTCAGATATTTTTTTTTTTATTAAATTTTTTTTTTCAACGTTTATTTATTTTTGGGACACAGACAGAGCATGAACGGGCAAGGGGCAGAGAGAGAGGGAGACACAGAATCGGAAACAGGCTCCAGGCTCTGAGCCATCAGCCCAGAGCCTGACGCGGGGCTCGAACTCACGGACCGCGAGATCGTGACCTGGCTGAAGTCGGACGCTTAACCGACTGCGCCACCCAGGCGCCCCAAAATGTGTCAGATATTAAATGAAGGGGAAAAATAGTTATTCAAGGCAGCTTTTATTTTTTTTCTTCAGATGTCCTAAGGAAGTATATCCTCATGTTTCTACCATTATAAATATTTGTCTTAAATATCTTACCTATGATCCAAATTATAATTATGATGATGAAGATGAAGATGAAAATGCCATGGATGCAGACGGTGGTGATGATGATGACCAAGGTATTTCAAATTATATAGAAGCAATGTGTTAAATTTTCATCAAAGAGCCAGTGTTATAGATGGAGAGGATTCTTATCCCCAAATTGTACCATTTATTTATAATAGTGAAAGTGGAAATGACCTCAGTATTCAACAATAGCAAGTTGATTAAATAAATTATGGGGCATCTATGTATTAAACTGCTATACAACATTTTCAGAGTCCTGTTCTAGAAAAATATTAAGGCACTTATTAATAAGCTTTGTGAAAAAGTGGGACAAAGTTATGTCCCAGTTTTATTTTTTTTAATATACAGAAAAAAAAGATGTTAGTATTTTTCCCTTAGCTAGCAATATAAACGATATTTGTGTTTTGTGTGTGTGTGTGTTTTGTTTTGTTTTTATTTTTCTTTATTCAAATTTCTACAAAGATTTTGTAAGGAGGGAAATGAATTTTATTTTAAACTGTGATGTAGATATACATATTCAGTTGTTTGGCTGGTTGTATACATACTTTCATGAAAAATCCTAAATATTGTTTGAGGCTCCATTTAACTTTCATAAATAATCTAGACATTTCTCAGGCTCCTAAGATTGATGTCCTCATGCTGTGATTTGTAGTATTTACTCTGGAAAGGGATAGCACTTTTAGGAACATAGATGTTTGTGTTAAGTTGTTTCTGCTAGTATTAAAAGAATCATAGTGGAGATAATTAAATAGGTAAGTTATGTGGTATATGGGTTGGTGGATTTCATAATAGTTTTCATACTTTTGATTTTTGAATTTATGTCCTCTTAAGTCTATAATTTCATTTGTCTTAAAACAACAAGTGACTATAAAAAAAAAAAATCTCCCTTAACCCAATATTACACAGGCAGCTAATGCCCAGTGTCTCTTACAACCGAACTGAAAAGAACGCTCTCCAATTCCTTTTTTCTTCTCTCTTAAATCTAGTCTTCAGTGATGGACAGGATCACCAGTGATCTCAAATGTTTGCCTGTTACTAAGTTCGGCAGTGTTTCTTGAACTTCCAGGGTACCACACTCTCCTGGGTGTAGTCCTGTTTTTGTGATTATCCCTTTTCATTCTCTGTGCTGGTTGCTCTTCATAATCCTGACCACTAAACTTCAGAGTATTCCAGGGCTTAGACTTCTCTGTGAACTCATATTCTTGTTAATCTTACCTAGTCTCCTAGGTTTAATATCCTTAAATGTCATTTAATATCATTATGCTGAAAACCCAAATTTTTCTTTATTCCAGATCTTTCCTGTGACTTTTAAGTTCATGTATACATCTGCTTAATTGATTCACTGCTTAGATGTATAAAATATCTTCTCCCCACTTTTCCCCTATCTCCTGCCTAACCAGTTTATTCTTTAGCCTTTTCCATCTCATCTTAGTCTCTCAGGCCAAAAACTTTGAGGTTATACATAATTACTTTTTCTTGTATACCCCCCTCATTCAGTCTCTCATCTCCGGGCTTTCCTCTTTATTTATTCCTTCTCAGTGTTTTTATTTTCATTGCATTTAATCCCTTTTGACATATTGTAATTATTTTCCACATCTAGGATGTAAGTTTCATGAAGACAGAGAGTTTTAGTCTCTCTGTTGACTGCTTTATCCCAGTGCCTAGGGTAGTGCTTGACACACAGTAGGCACTCAGTAAATGTGTTGTATTAATGAAGGGATTATAATAGAATATCCTTTGAAAAAAGCAGTAGCGATATCTTCCAAGTTTTGATTGTTGGTTTTTAGTGTGCCAGGTACTTATGTTGAATAACTAACCAAGTCCTTTAGCTGTTACATCAGTTTTCATGGGTTATACCTAATGACTGTCTTTGCACCATAGTGTTACTGTAACATGAAAGCACCATAATTTCAGTGATTAGGATATTTAATGTTTTAATAACCCTTTTTTTCCAATAAAGTATATTTCTACAAAATAATTCACATGGGTTGCCATGGGGAAAACTTCATTTATTTGTTTGCTTTTAAATCTATTTTGATATAGTACCTTTTAATTTTCAAATATGTATTTGCAAATAAGTCATATGCCTTGGGTTTAGTAGTATTTGGTTAGGTTTTCCTATAATGTGCCAAAATGAAATTAAGTAAACAAAACTTTAATATCATCCTAGGATTTTGTAAGGCATAGCTGGCCACATTTAGCTGTCATTAAGCTAATTGGAATATAAACCAGTGAAGAGATGACCTCTTTTCCCCCCACTGAGGAATCAGCGTGTCAGGGCTATAATCTTATCTAATAACAAAATTATTGTTAATTTTAGACTGTTCTAAGAACTGCTAGCATTTTTGCCATCCTCCTGACTTTATGTTGCCCAACTGATTCAGTCTGATGGTGTTGGAAGGAAATAATTTTCAGAGATTTCACACACATTACATATGTATGTAATGAAGCATACATAAGTGAGGTGGAGTTGATAATGCTTATACTTGGAATGCTTATTGTTTTAAGGTTTAGCAGGAATTTGGAGAAGATGGTGCTTTGTTGTTAGAAGGATTTTCTTGTAATTGAGGAAGTATTGTGTTTTTAAACTGTCATGAGAATACGTTGAAAGGTTGAAAATACACATATTTTTTCCTAAAAGCCTGTCATTAAATGTAGTGAAAACCCTTGTAATCCCAAAGAAAGCTGATGTCAGTCAGTATTCTTTCTCTCCCCAGAAAATTAGTCTACAGCATGTCCTAGGATTTTAACCATGCTTTTTAATATATCATCTATAGTCACAAATCATATTTGCTGGTTTATCTTATTAACGCCTTCTGTGATTGATTGATTGCTTTTCCTATAGTGTCAAGTAAGTAAACATACTGTTTAAAAGGTTGGGATGAGAGATTTATGTTTTACAGGTGTTTATTTTGGAAAGAAGTTTCATGTGTTAATAATTTAAAAATGATTTTAAATGATTTAAGCTGCTCATTACCCATAATAAGTGAGAAGATGATTAACGAGTTAAAAACAATTACGATTATTTTCTTTAGAGGTTAATTTATATGTAACTTGGTATAATTTCTATCTGTTAAGTACTTGCTCTTTTAAGACTTGCTGTACTTAAGTGAAAAGTTTTAAAACTGTCTTAGTTTGAATATCGATTCACTTTCTGTGTTAAATGATAAACTTTTCTTACCTGTTAACATTAAAACTTCTCTCTAGGGAGTGACGACGAATACAGTGATGATGACGACATGAGCTGGAAAGTGAGACGTGCGGCCGCTAAGTGCTTGGATGCTGTAGTTAGCACAAGGCATGAAATGCTTCCAGAATTCTACAAGACTGTCTCTCCTGCACTGATATCGAGATTTAAAGAGCGTGAAGAGAATGTAAAGGCAGATGTTTTTCATGCATACCTTTCTCTTTTGAAGCAAACTCGTCCTGTACAAAGTTGGCTGTGTGACCCTGATGCTATGGAGCAGGGAGAAACACCTCTGACAATGCTTCAGAGTCAGGTCAGTTTAAAAGTATGATTGAGGGGCGCCTGGGTGGCTCAGTCGGTTAAGCGGCCGACTTCGGCTCAGGTCATGATCTCGCGGTCCGTAAGTTCGAGCCCCGCATCAGGCTCTGTGCTGACAGCTCAGAGCCTGGAGCCTGTTTCGGATTCTTTGTCTCCCTCTCTCTGAGACCCTCCCCTGTTCATCCTCTGTCTCTCTCTGTCTCAAAAATAAATAAACGTTAAAAAAAAAAAAATTTAAAAAGTATGATTGGAAGTCATGTTCATAAATATGATCTTGTAAAATTGGGTTTTTATATGGAAATGTGAGTCTCAGAACATCTTCAGAGAAGCAGAGTTCTGGGATATACTTCTATAGGAGTTTATGTATACTCATTCATGCTATGTCACTTATAGTTTATCCTGATTGAGGTGTTCTTGATTTATTAGATAAGCAATATTAAAATAATTTTAAGATTCAGTAAAATTATCTCTGATGTTAACAGAGGAATCTTAGGAGTGAAGCAAAGTATGAACACAAGTAGTGTGACTCCACAGCTCTAATTTAGCTGCATGATCCTGGATAAGGTAGTTATTTTTTTAAACCTCACTTTTCTCACGCGTAGTAATGGTTTACTTAGAATTGTCTACCCAGGGAAGTAAGAGATGAGATGATCTATGTAAACATTTAGTGTAGTGCCTAGTACATAGTAAGTACTTACGGATTTTTATTAATAAGAGCTGGCATTGATATTTTTCACTTTAGGGCATCCCTAAGATTCTAAAGATCAGAGCTAGATAGCTCCTATTGAATGTTTGGTGCACGCTAGGCATTTTCCTATCTTGTATTTAATCCCTACAGCAGCCCAATGGTGTACACATTGGTTCATTTTTATAAATTACAAAACAGATGTTGAGAGGGACTGAACAACGAAACTATGGGAGATGTACATACCGTATGTCTCTTGGTTTCAAGTAGTACAAATTAACAGAAAATTCCTGGTGAACTTAAAGGTGAACATTGAAGAATGCACTGTAGAAGGAAACGAGATAAAGTGTATGGAGGACACAAGCCCTTAAATAAATGTATAGAAGTCAGGTAAAATCATGGGACATTCTGATGGTTTGACAAATCAGGTTGTCGTCTTTTGTCTCTAGCCCTCAGATCACTCAACATGGTATGTGTGTGTATGTATTCTCCCAACCAAATACCCTATTTATGTTTTACCAGCTAACAAAACGGTAGAAAGTTTAGAAGCAGATGTCTTTGAATCATAAACTTGCTGCATGTAGCTATATTTTGAAGTGAGGTCTTACTTCATTGTGAGAGCAAACTAAAAGCAAAAATAAAGACCTGTTTAATGGTTTATTTTCCATAGTTTGTCCCTTTTCGTTTAATGCGTATCTGTGCTATTTTTGTTCAAAAAGCCATTTATAAATTATGTTGCTAAAATTTTGGTTGAAAATTTACTATTTGGTTAGATTTCTACTTAGTCTTATGTATTTCAGAATCAAAAATTAATTAAGGAAGACTTGTTGCTCTGTTTAAGAGCTAATGCTAGCTTTTCTCTGTTATCAGTATAAAGCAAATACAGTTCAAAGAACACAAATGTAGTGGGTACAACAAAAGCTGCATCAGACAATCTTGTTAGTAGATAGCGGAATTAGGAATTTGACAAAAAAAGATAAACTGTTCATTCTCCCCATCCCCTATAATTTGTGGTAAGTGTACTGAGGAAATACCAATAGCTAATGAGTGTGTGATAATTACAGGTTCCCAACATTGTTAAAGCTCTGCACAAACAGATGAAAGAAAAAAGTGTCAAGACCCGGCAGTGTTGTTTTAACATGTTAACTGAACTGGTAAATGTACTACCTGGAGCCCTAACGCAACACATTCCTGTACTTGTACCAGGTATGAAAGATAAATCACTTTGGGGACTTACCACAGACTATTGTTAAGTCTTCGATAAGCTTAAATCGTTGTTTCCTTCAAAAGCGTAATTTGTGACAACTTAATTTGCACGTACAACCATCTTGAACTCAAGTTAGAAACTTTCAAGTACAAAGTTTAAAACCTTACTGTAACTTTCTTGGCTGTCCTATTTATCGTAGATTGTGGAGTCTCTACTACTTTAGAGATAGTATGACGAAGTGGGAACTTTAGTAATATTTTAGGGATTAGGTTTTAATTTTTTTCTTTCATGAAACTAAGAATTATTGGACTTTTTTTTTTGTTGGCTTTTTAGGAATCATTTTCTCACTGAATGATAAATCAAGTTCATCAAATTTGAAGATTGATGCTCTGTCGTGTCTGTATGTAATCCTCTGTAACCACTCTCCTCAAGTCTTCCATCCTCACGTTCAGGCTTTGGTCCCTCCAGTGGTGGCTTGTGTCGGAGACCCATTTTACAAGATTACATCTGAAGCACTTCTTGTTACCCAACAGCTTGTCAAAGTAATTCGTCCTTTAGATCAGCCTTCCTCGTTTGATGCAACTCCTTATATCAAAGATCTATTTACCTGCACCATTAAGAGGTTAAAAGCAGCCGACATTGATCAGGAAGTCAAGGAAAGGGCTATTTCTTGTATGGGGCAAATTATTTGCAACCTTGGAGACAATTTGGGTTCTGATTTGCCTAATACGCTTCAGATTTTCTTGGAGAGACTAAAGAATGAAATTACCCGGTTAACCACAGTGAAGGCGTTGACACTGATTGCTGGGTCGCCTTTGAAGATAGATTTGAGGCCTGTCCTGGGAGAAGGGGTTCCTATCCTTGCTTCATTTCTCAGGAAAAACCAGAGAGCTTTGAAACTGGGTACCCTTTCTGCTCTAGATATTCTAATTAAAAACTATAGTGACAGCTTGACAGCTGCCATGATAGATGCAGTTCTAGATGAGCTCCCACCTCTTATCAGCGAAAGCGATATGCATGTTTCACAGATGGCTATCAGTTTTCTTACCACACTGGCGAAAGTGTATCCCTCCTCCCTTTCAAAAATAAGTGGATCCATTCTCAATGAACTTATTGGACTTGTGAGATCACCTTTATTGCAGGGGGGAGCTCTTAGCGCCATGCTAGACTTTTTCCAAGCTCTGGTTGTCACTGGAACAAATAATCTAGGCTACATGGATTTGTTGCGCATGCTAACCGGTCCAGTTTATTCTCAGAGCACAGCTCTTACTCACAAGCAGTCTTACTATTCTATTGCCAAATGTGTAGCTGCCCTTACTCGAGCATGCCCTAAAGAAGGACCAGCCGTAGTAGGTCAATTTATTCAAGATGTTAAGAACTCAAGGTCTACAGATTCCATTCGTCTCTTAGCTCTGCTTTCTCTTGGAGAAGTTGGGCATCATATTGACTTAAGTGGGCAGCTGGAACTAAAATCTGTAATATTAGAAGCCTTTTCATCTCCTAGTGAAGAAGTTAAATCAGCCGCCTCCTATGCACTAGGCAGCATTAGCGTGGGCAACCTTCCTGAGTATCTGCCATTTGTCTTACAAGAAATAACCAGTCAACCCAAAAGGCAGTATCTTCTGCTTCATTCCTTGAAGGAAATTATTAGCTCTGCATCAGTGGTGGGCCTTAAACCATATGTTGAAAATATCTGGGCCTTATTGCTAAAGCACTGTGAGTGTGCAGAAGAAGGAACCAGAAATGTTGTTGCTGAATGTCTAGGGAAACTCACTCTAATTGATCCAGAAACTCTCCTTCCACGGCTTAAGGGATATTTGATATCAGGTGGGTACCTAGATTTTCTTACTTAAAATTTTATTAGCAGTTGGTAACCTTGAAAGATGCCTAATGCAGAAGCTAAAACAATCTTGTGTTATATGTAGAACCTATTGCCATATTCAAGTGACATTTTGTTGTTTAAAAAGCTAGAATAATAACGGTTAAATGAATCTGTTCTAATTTCCAGTGTTCATTATATTTCAGTGCTACTTTTTAATCTTAAAATTGTGGAAAAGACAGATGTTTGTTGAATTAACGTCTCCTAAGGAGCTTGGTAGTACTAATTATAATACTAAAATTAATGAATTTAGTTCAAAGGAAAGAACCTAGGAGAGTTTTGTTTTCAGATTACCAGTGTCAACTCCTTTCGACCAAATAGGGGATAATAATAGCCATTGCTTTTTTTAGAAACTGCTTTTTTAAGAAATTGTGGGTTTAAACACTTCCCTTTTGTGAGAGCTTAGATCCCCCACTGCTGTTCTTCCAGCCCTTCTCCTTCCCAGAAGACATTATTTCTTTTGAAACCTAATGGGATTATAGTTTACGAGTAAAACTTTGCTTCCCTGAGAACAGTGTGTGTCACCCCTCTGGACCAAAGAGAATTTTAAGGAATTGAAGACACTGGTGTTAGTTGAAAGTGGTTTGAAAATGATAAAGATGCCCATGGATTTTAGTGAATTTACGTACCAGTAGACTTAAAATTTATTTTTAATTAGGCTCATCGTATGCCCGAAGCTCTGTGGTTACAGCTGTGAAGTTTACTATTTCTGATCATCCGCAACCTATTGATCCATTGTTAAAGAACTGCATAGGTAAGTGGAAACAAAGGTGAACATACTGATTAATAATCTCAGTAGCCAAAAATACTACCAAGGAACTAAAATGCTTTTAAGGGTCTGGTAATTATTTCATTAAAAAGATAATTGATAATGTGATTATCTATCATCCCTCAGTTTGCAGTTGTTACCAGATAATTTTGCAAATCACTGAAATTGGTAAATAACACTAGGATGTCCTTCAGAGTCAACTACATATTTGGTTCTTGCTTTATCTGTGGGAGGCCCGGTTTTCTGTTATTACTTGTAAACCCTCCAGCTCCCAGGGAGAACTGTGAAGACTTCATATGTAAGGTGGAAACGGTGGAAGAATAAAAAACTGAGTCGGGTAGAACTAAGATAGCCAAGAAAGACTAGGGCTGTCTCTGTTTCTGTGACGTCAAGAATTAGCTTCTAGGATTATTAGTAATGATTTTATAATTTCTTGTGTGGATTTCATCATCATCAATTTTCTTAGAGTTGGTAAAACTAAAAACCTTTAGAGCTTAGTTTGGTGTTTTCTTGGAAACAGAGCAATGACAATAACAGCAGAGAGAATAGAGGGATATGGCAAAGAAGCTTTGTAGTTTCGTGCCATTGTGCAGTAGGCCAACAAAGGGAAAAAACACAATTTAAAAGAATTGCAGTGGATTACCTGGTGATCAAAAAGAAGGAAATCTTGTCATTTGTAACAACATGGATGGAACTAGAATGTATTACGCTAAGAGATAAATCAGAGCAAGATGAATATCATGATTTCACTCATGTGGAATTTAAGAAAACAGATGAACATAGGGAAGGGAAGGAAAAATAAGGTTAAAACAGGGAGGCAAATCATAAGAGACTCTTAAATACAGAGAACAAACTGAGGGTTGCTGGAGAGGTACTGGGTGGGGAGATGGGCTGAGTGATGGGCATGAAGGAGGGCACTTGTTGGGATGAGCATTGGGTGTTATATGTAAGTGATGAATCACTAAATTCTACTCCTGAAAGCATGATTACACTACATGTTAACTAACTTGGATTAAATAAAAATGAAAATGGATTTTCAGTTAAGAAATGGATTACCAGTTAATAAGAGGGATGCAGGGATAAATGGATGCTATCGCTGGGACCTAGAAATAATTTAAAGAAGGTCTGTATTGGAAGATTCTTGCCTTTGTTCTCCTCACCTGTTTTTTTGCTTTGATATATTTGTTGACATTTTTTGTGTTGTACAAGATAGGACAAAGAATCCTGCGCCACATCTCTAGAGACCTATTTCCAAGTTGACAAGTCAACTATTGTGTATCGTTGGTGTAGTTATTTGATCAGATGATTGTCATTCTCTTTGAATTATGATCTAGTTTAGTATTATTTGTGACTAATACGAACATCAGAACCACCTAGGAAGCTTTTTAAAAATTATAATTTTTAAACTGAAGATTTGGGGATCTTTGATCCTAGTCCATGTCATCATTTGTCCATAATAATAGCAATATTTTAGATGCTTTTCTGAAAGCAGATAATTAGAATAAAGTATTATTCTCATTTACTGTCTTAGTAATTCTAAGCAAAGAGAGGGATGAGGAGATTTAGTCTGGTGTATTTGAATTATTTTTGAATCCAAGGTATCTCCTGAACTTTTTTGTAATCAGAAGTTTCCTGGGGGGTCAGCCTTGAGTTTGCCCCCCAGTGTATGGTGTCTGAAGTATTACTTCCTTTCCATTTTTTCAAATTGCCGTTGTGATACAGTCAAGTGTTGGCACTGCTCTTTTTCCCCATGTATTCCAAAAGATTGCTGATTGTAGGGTTGAGACTGCATAATGAAGAATGGTAGCTCCATAAGAATACCAGGTATGTCCCAGACTATTCAACAGTGTACATGCAGCTTATTCTACTCATGTAGTCTTAAAAGGTTTGGAATGCTCACTTTATAAGCTGAGAAACTGAGGCTCTTGCCTAAAGTACCTTGCCAAAAGTCATAAAATTGGCAAATGAAGTGATTTGGATCCCCCTCTGTGTGACTCCAAACATCTTTGCACTATAATTTCTTCCCCACGTTTGCAGTTTCTACTTTTTGTTCTGTGTTGAGTTTCAGGTTCCTCCTTCTGTATTCTTTTTTTTTTTTTTTTTTTTAATTTTTTTTTCAACATTTATTTATTTTTGGGACAGAGAGAGACAGAGCATGAACGGGGGAGGGGCACAGAATCGGAAACAGGCTCCAGGCTCTGAGCCATCAGCCCAGAGCCTGACGCGGGGCTCGAACTCACGGACCGCGAGATCGTGACCTGGCTGAAGTCGGACGCTTAACCGACTGCGCCACCCAGGCGCCCCCTCCTTCTGTATTCTTAACCTCTTACCAATTCATACATTCGGCATTAAAGATAGAAATAAAAGTATTTTGAAGGCGCATGTCTCCTTATCATCCGATAAATTGTGTACTTGTTAATAGTGTTCAGTTTATCAAGCAGCGGATCTGTCTCAGGCTAATTATTTTATTCGAACTCAGTTTTTTCTGTTTTTGTTGCTTTTAGTGAAAATACTAATTTTGAACTCTTGAGTGCACCATTCGCAATATTTTTATAGCTGCTGGTTCCGTCACTTCTCTGTGCAACCTACCTTTTTTTTTAAATTAAGTATCTGTAGGGGCGCCTGGGTGGCTCAGTCGGTTGAGTGTCCGACTTCAGCTCAGGTCACAATCTCACGGTTTGTGAGTTCGAGCCCCACGTCGGGCTCTGGGCCGATGGCTCAGAGCCTGGAGCCTGCTTCCGATTCTGTGTCTCCCTCTCTCTCTGCTCCTCCACCGTTCATGCTCTGTCTCTCTCTGTCTCAAAAATAAATAAACTTAAAAAAAAATTTTTTTTTTTAAATAAAAAATAAATTATCTGTAAACGTAATTGAAGAACTTTTGGGGCTCACTCATTCCATACTCTCTGCATTATATAATGGTGCTAAGAATCGGTTATCATGTCTGAATGTGAGTGGGTCTAATTGATTACCTGTTGCCAAAAGAAGTTCTGTATTTCACTTATCGTGTCCTTCTGTCACCTGCATGGAAAAAATAATATCAACATAAACTTAGCCATTTAGAAAAAATATATAATGTATATTGTATTTTAAGCCTACCATGACTATATGATGTTTCTCTTAAAATTTTCAGGTGATTTCCTAAAAACACTGGAAGACCCAGATTTGAATGTAAGAAGAGTAGCCTTGGTCACATTCAATTCAGCAGCACATAATAAACCGTCATTAATAAGGGATCTTCTAGATACTGTTCTGCCACATCTTTATAATGAAACAAAAGTTAGAAAGGAGCTTATAAGAGAGGTAAGTTAGTTACATTACTGTTTATCTAAGCTTGTCCTTTACTTTTAAGTATATCCACACATTCTTTTTTGTTTCAACAGGTAGAAATGGGTCCATTTAAGCATACAGTTGATGATGGACTGGATATTAGAAAGGCAGCTTTTGAGTGTATGTACACACTTTTAGACAGTTGTCTTGATAGACTAGATATCTTTGAATTTCTAAATCATGTTGAAGATGGTTTGAAGGACCATTATGATATTAAGGTAAGATATTTGTGCCTGTTTATAAATTGCTTTAGAGGAAGACTTTGCTATAGTGACTTTCACCCTTGCAATTTACTCTTGTGTATTAAGAAAAATTGATTTGCTTGTCATGATTTAATAAGTGTACTATAAACTAGAATATGCAAAAGTAATAGTAATACAGTGTAACATTACAGGGAAAATCCAGAAACCTCATTGGAGGAGGAAGTCAAGTCTAAGTTATGGATGGAAAATTCTCAAATTCTGTATGCCAGCTTGCTTTAATGCATAGACCAGAGATCTTTCCATTACTTAAAAGAAGAGTCCAGGCAGGTTTTGGTGTTCAGAGTATAAGGAGTGAAATTATTACTACTACTACTATATATATATATATATGTTTTTTTTTTTTTTTGGCCTGTCTTAATATTGGACAGTAATCTTCTCAAGGGAGTTTTTTCTTTTCCTTTTTAGTTTTCCATCAGTGTCTTGGCTAATTCATTTGTCTGTCTTTAGAGCTGTTCTGTATGATAACTGTTTTACTTACATGAATGGGGGATTTTTATTTTCCAGTATAATAGGCTTAATATCAAAAGTATTGTTAAAGGATAATACAGAAGGACTGTTTCCGCATATACATAGCAATCTGTAGAAATTAGAAATACCCTTCAAAGTTTTAGAGTAGGAACTTTGCATAGCTGCTCTTTGTTTTATTTGCTCATGTCCATTTTAAATACGAACTATAAAAGGGTGGTTTAAAAACCGTTCATTGTCTCTTCTTCAGGCCCTTTAGTCAAGCAGGGCAAAAGTGGTAGTTGAAAAGTAATTCAGCCATACTATCAGAATTCCTACTTGTTTCCTATGTGGTAGTAACCTGACCCTCCCAAATTCAATGAAGAGAACCCCAAAAGAAGTAATAGGATCCTCCTGTTTTATTCTGTAGTTTATAGTGTAAGAGAAAAAAAAGATTATGAGTTACTGGGCTTTATATGGATAATATAAGGATAATATAATATATTATTCTATACATATATTCTATATATTATCTGTATATAATATATAGATATATAGAATAATATATATAATCTATATTATATATATAATCTATATATTATAATATAAGGATAATATAAGACTGAATAACCAGTCTTTTTGATTTTTTTAGGAATATCTGCTAAGACAGTGGAAACTTATTACAGAGCTTTTCTCCTAGTTACTTTCTTGTTCATTGGTTTCCATTCTGTTACACACAAGGCTTTTTAACAAATACTGTATCTGTGATCCTATCCTGACAGGTTAAGTAAAAATCTCTGGGAAAGGGGTTGAGGAATTGGGCAGATTTCTAAAGCTTTCCAGCGCTAATGTGCAGCCAGGATTGAGAACCACTTTACTAGTTTTGGACTCTAGGACCACATTCTAAGGTCGATCTGCCTAATGCTCATAATTAATATTCCTCAGAATAAAGTTTGAAACAAATTTATGTGATTCCAAATGGCAGATTACATTAAAATGAAACTTGATGGTACATGCTATGCATTTCCTCTTAAAAGCTTTGTCAGGATTTGGAATTTTGTCTTTAGAAAATAATGCAAAGTCTAAATTTTTTGTTTTAATTTCTAATAGATGCTCACATTTTTAATGTTGGTGAGACTCTCCACCCTTTGTCCAAGTGCAGTGCTACAGAGGTTGGACCGACTTGTTGAGCCATTACGTGCCACATGTACAACTAAGGTAATCACTGATAGACATCACCCTAGGCCAGACTTGGTATATTCAAGAATCCTAGTTGATTCCATACTGTAGTTTTCCAAATTTAACCATGCTAACACCCTATGTATTAGTTGCCTTTAAAAGTGAATCTTTTAGGGGCTCCTGGGTAGCTTAGTTAAGCATCTGACTTTGGCTCAGGTCACGATCTCGAGGTTGGTGGGTTTGAGCCCTGCGCTGGTCTCTGTGCTAACAGCTCAGAGCCTGGAGCCTACTTCAGATTCTGTGTCTTCCTCTCTCTCTGCCCCTTCCCCACTCACACTCTGTGTTTCTCTCAAAAACAAACATTAAAAAATGTAAAAAGTTAACCTTTTAGATGTGGATGTTTTAGAAAACGTAGCACCATTAAATGCCATTCTTAAAAGCTTTTGTTTAGTGTTATAGTTATGTATCATATGTTGAAGTATCGATTCTGAGACCATAAAGGAGGAAATGGTGTATTCTGCTAGAGGAGGTGGTGAGTGGGAGTCCTAGAAAACTTCATATGAACACGATGACATATAAAATGGACCTTGAAAAGTTAGAATTATTTTTAGATTCAGAAGGAAACGGGACTTTTCACAGAAGAAATACACAATTCATGGCAGTACATGACATGTTTGAAGAAAAATGAGTGAACAGGGTAGCTAGAAGAATAGTTTCTTGGAGGCCAGAGTAGGACTTACTTAAGCAGGTAAGGCTCTGGGTCCCATTCTGTTTTCAACCATGAGGGCTCTGGATTTTGTTTTTATAAGGGGGCTTTGTATAAAATGTTCCCTCAAAGGAAGAGAGCTACTGCTCAACAGTTTAAAAATAACTGTGTTTAGGTATAATGTATCTTTTGGACCTATAAGACAGTGGCTTTGCTTTATTTACCAGAAATTTCTACATGCTTACATTTTGTTCAGGAGCTGTCTTTATAACCTATAATATAAATTTACTCAATGTTACAGGTGAAAGCAAATTCAGTAAAGCAGGAGTTTGAAAAGCAAGATGAACTAAAGCGATCTGCCATGAGAGCAGTAGCAGCATTGCTAACCATTCCAGAAGCAGAGAAGAGTCCACTGATGAGTGAATTCCAGTCACAGATCAGTTCTAACCCTGAGCTGGCGGCCATCTTTGAAAGTATCCAAAAAGATTCATCGTCTACTAACTTGGAATCAATGGACACTAGTTAGATGTTTGTTCAACACGGGGACCATCACTTTGACCATATGATGCACTGAATTGACAGGTTAACCATAAGACATGGAAAGAGAAGTATTTAAGGCTTCAAAATGTTCCATTTTTTTCCCTCTTCTCATGGAGACAGTTTGGCTTTCTTCCATTGTTGTTTTTGTAGCATTTATTTCAGAAACATGTATTTCCACAATCTCCAGAGGTTGTAAAGCCACTAATGTTTTAGTGGTTAGGGCAACATTTAAAAAATGGAAATTAAAATTTAGGATTTATGGAGATAGGGTCCAGTATCTATTTGCCCTGTAATGTTTAGGATTAAAATGTTGAAATTTTGTGACCATGAATTTCTTTCTTTTATAATTTTTCTTTAAAAAAAAAAAATCAAAAAATTTTCAAGACGAAAACCATGTTTTTCTCGTATAACTTTTTGTTTCAGCAACATAAATCGATTTTTAGCTGGCAAACAAGAATATCTGTGTAAGATTTGTTACGTTTCAGAGGGTTTGGCAGTTTAAAAAAAGATAAGGTATCATTTTTTTTTAAGTGTGGGGATTAACAGTATCCCTATTGTGCACACTAATTTTGCATGAGCAAGTTTACAAATATGTATTGTCTGTAAAGCAGCATGTGCAGATTATTCATAATAACAAAAGTTAAAATAGTATTATTGTATTAGTGCAATTTTCAGATATTTATTTTTGCACAGAAAACATATCTGGAGAAAGAGAGAGAGAGGAGTAAATTTTTGAAACTTTGGTTTTCTTAATGCCAGTGTGAATTTGCAGATGTTTTCAGCAAATCAAGTCACAATAACAGTTTGCCACTTTTTCTATTATAAATTTTCTTACACATTTAAAATTTGAATATTTAAGTACTCAGTTTTTCTCAGTTACCCATTTGTGTGCGTGTGTTTCCAACGTAGAAATTTTTAAAGCCAGATGTTTCTTTCATTCCCTTTGGATCCCTACATTCCTTATTGAAGGATACAAATACTGTGTACACTTTTGAATTTTATTTTTAGGAAAATTCTGAAGCTGTCACAGGTTTGTTAGCTAATATAGTGTTTTCTTTTAGTTGAGTTAGATTTTCCCCCCCTCTTGTAGCGCTAATTCACATATTGTATTTGGTAAGTGTTGACTACTTTTCCTGATTAAGGGGTCTGTGCTGGGGGGAAGCAAAGCTTTGCAGTACCTTATATTGTAGTTAAATTTTTATTTAACATATCCTTCAGTGAGCTCATTTCACACTGTAGCCTCTTCCTTCAAATTTGTGGTGCTCCTGTAACAGTAAGAACTAACTTCTGAAATAAAAGACATCTCCTAATGCTGTGCAAACATAGTTTACATGTATTGAAGGAGGCAGTTGTTAAATCGACCAATTTAAGCAATCAGATATTTGAAAACTGCACCCTTTATTTTTGAAACTGTGAATTAGAAATATTTTTCCTGCTGTATAACTTCCTGCTTTAACATCTGAATATGCAGTGATTTTAATTGATAACATACTGTGGTGATTCGATTAACAGCTTGATTTCAAATGTTCAGATGATAATGCATAAGACATCATTACCAG